GCACCTAATCCAAAGTCGTCTGCCATAGTAGTTGTCATGATTCCCAGCATCAGACAGTGGACTTGGTACACTCTCAAACGTATCGCCGGCATCGTAGTCGGCATCATCAGTTAGTTTTGCAATTCGCCGTACCAAGCAACGAACTCGTCAAAGAGACAAGTGAAGTCAATCCCTCGACAAACGTTCTGCCGGCGAAGCGTTTCAGAATGTACCAAGTCCACTGTCTGATGTTGGGAATCATGAACTACTATGGCAGACGACTTCGAATTAGGTGCATCCTACTAAGTCGCCCTGACAACAGGACCAAGTTGCGACAACGAGGTCAACGCACTTCTATAGATCGAAAGGAGACTGCGACCATACCAGAGGCCACATCATCTTGACCTTCATATCTTTAAGAATGAGTTTGTTTGTTATGAGATAAAGAGATCTTTAAAATTTTGCTGAATTGGATTTTAAGGCAAATAATTTTTTTATAATAATGTGCTAGCCGACCTGCAGAGCAGCCAGCTTCAATTGTTGAATTGTGGTGCCTCTGGGTAAACGATGCAGCTCAGTCTGCGTAATTAGAGCTGCCCCAGCCTGACGATCAAGCTCGTCTGCATCCAGATCTGTCAGCTCACTCTGGTCGAGCGATACGTCTGACACATCAGATAAATCAGCATGCTTGTGCGACGATGCCCCTTCAAAGTCGATGTCTCCACCCTCAACAGGATTGCTCTCATCAAAAGGAGCGGAGTTGGCAGAGTGACCCGTCGGATTCTCCGGAACGACAGAGAAGCTGTGAAAATTATGTGTGCGGCCTAGATCAAACAAGAAAGCATAGAGCTAAGGTACTGGCAGATAGGAGGAAACTATGAACGAGAGGGAAATAGGTAAGAGGAAAGACTATTAAGGGGCCAGTAACCTTAAAATATGGAAGGTTATCATCATTAGTAGTAAACATCTTGAATAAAGAAATGATTGCTAAATACTTAGGGTAAAATATGATAAGTGGTTCAGATGTAAGTGGTTCAAGACTATCAGTATTTCCTGAATAAGATGTGAATTATGGCCGGATAGGTAATTTTTCCAC